CTGCTTCTTTTTTTCCCCTCCCCTGAACACTGATAACGCTTTGTCCTTCCTAATGAGGGCAGCAGTTACTTGTGCTTGGCACGKGCTGGTTTGCAGCCATTTCAGCGGAGATCGGGAGTCTGTTCTTTGTTGCTGTGTTTTAGGAGAGAGCTGATCCATGAGGGGTTTCTATTTCCCCAGGAAAAGGGGAGCCTGAGATTGTGGAATTACGAAGAAATAGTGTGCTTTTTCCTGCAGGGAGGCGATAGGACTATCTTTACTCTCTGTGCAGTTCATCCCTGAAGCTTTTCAAGCCCCAGAAGTAGTGCCCTGCCCTTGGGATTGCAGCCCCAGGAGCACCTGCTTTTGCCTGAGCTGCCCTGCTGAACCGTTCCAGTTTGACAAGATATTTTTTCCTATTTACAGCCCAACTGGAATTCAGGTTTGCTTTTGTGCAGCTGTAGGTAACCACAGGGCTGGCTCKCCTACCTTTTGGGAGCAGGCAGCCTCTTGCATGCATGGAGTGTTATTTTGACCTGGATGTATGAGCAAGCAATTCTCTCTTCTCTTCATCCTCGCTGTCCTCCTAGGTGTGCACCTTCACTCCTGTCTGCTGCATGCCAGCATGAAGCTGTTTGGTCGTGTGACAGCCTTACCTTGTTAAATATATGTAGGTCCTAATCTTGAGGTCCCTTTTGTTGCAGTAATGGTTATTAGCAACAATAAATCTTCTCTGTGCTCTTTCCCAGTTCTCCTGGCTCCTGGGGAAGGAAAAGATAGAGGAAGGGATGGTTTCAAGGAATGGAATGGTCTTGACTGTCCAGACTAATGGGAATATATGTACTGAAATGGAGCAACAGCAATATTCAGATTTGTAAGGTTCTATAGAGATGGAACAAACTTGTCAAGACAGGGAGTGCTGGCTGCTTTTTGACAACACTGCAGAAGTCTGWGGGGAAATGTCTGCCTGCAGATTCAGAAAGGCAGTTTTACTGCAGCCAAATAATAAGTTTCTGAACTATTTGCATGTAAATCATCTTGCTGACTGCTTTGGCTGTTGGCAGGAGTGGAGATGGAGTAGCATCCTCTTCTGGATAGAGGCAGTGCAGGTCCCTGCTCCTCTATAAATGCCTTTTGAGGTGGCCTGCAGTTTGTAGCAGGTAGTCTTGCTTCTTGCCATAGACAACTGCATGTGTTTGTTTAGGAGCAACAGAAGGAGAAGGCGGCTGCTCGTATTTCATAGATGCACTTAGGAGGTGCCAAGGGGTCAAAGTCATTTTGTCAAGTTTCCCTAGTGGATTATACGAAGGACTGGATTTAAGTTTTTCTTCTCTTTTTTTCTCTCCTTGAATTTAAATATGGAAATGTAATTCAAGTAGAAAGGTACACTAAATCCTCCGGGGTTTGTGCTTTTGAATAAAATAGCGCACGGGTGGTGGCTGGAGGAGCGTGCGAGGCAGCAGCCCCTGGGGCTTCCTCCATCCAGAGCGGGGCTGTCACTCCCGGCCTCGCCGTCCTCAGCACTCCGAGCTGCCTGGCGCTTGCTCCTCAGTGGACGTCGTACCCCTTTCTTTCCCTGGGAGGTCGATTGCAGGTGAATTTTCCATTTTTATCTTCATCTCAGACTGCTGTGCTGGTATTAAGATGCAGCAGTACTGGAATTGCTGATACTTGGAAAGGAAAATGGTGACTATGCTAGCTGGTTGCTTCTTGTAACTGGAGTCATGGAGTTACCTGCAGTTCCCTAGCAAATCCAACAGTGTAGCAGGATGTTACAAAGACAAATGTAAGAGGAAACAAATGCATAGGGGCTGTTTTTCCTTTGCAGTAAGCCCAGTGTAAAACCATTTTCCTAAATCTAAGCATATATTTAAATGCTCTCTCCTGTGGACAAAGTACTGAAGAGCTCTTGGTGAGCAGGGTCTTTGGAGAAAGCTTTTTCCCTCCCTTTGCCTCACTTTCCTCACCTGACTGTGGGGCTAGTAACACTGATTTCCCCCATTGATTATTTGCAGACCTCAGGGCACAGGAGGCAAAGGAAGTGCTTGGGCAGGGTGTTGATTTTGCCTTTACTCAAACCCCCAATAACTGGAGGGCAGAGAACCAGCCTGCAGTTACTGCAGAGGGCTCTGAAGCCCTTCAGAATGAGGAAAGAGCTACCATGTGTTTGCATAAGGGACTAGATACAGAAACTGGTAGCACAGCTTACATGGGAATATATAAAAGGCAGAGTCCACAGCTAATTGTTTATTTACTTTATCCTTTTGTTGAAAGGGAGCAGGAGGTACCCTCTCCAATTTTTCCCCGTGGATAATAAAGATACTGGCAGGGAGGAAGGCAGCAAACCAAGAGGACATCCTTAAACAAATAAATTAATTGCTGGCTGCTTGGGAAGCAGCCATGAGTTAAACAGCAGAGGGCAAAAAAGGAAAGATCAATTTTCAGGGTGGCAAGAGCTCCAGAGGAGGGTATCTGAAAGACTTGTCTCAGACTGGGCTTTTCTAAAATATAGTCTAGAATTGGGTGGGAGGAGAAGGGGGGGAAATGGCAGTTGCCCACAGTTATTTAGTGCAAGTAGTGCAGGCTCTGAAGAGCTGCCACTAGCTCTATGCAAGCAGGTGAACAGGCAAGCCAATGGCAGATGAAATTAAATGTTGACAAATGCAAGTTAATGTGCATTGGAAGGCATACTATGACCTACTCGTACACATTGCTGCATTTTAAATTAACTGTAACCACTCAGGGAAAAGACCTAGGGGTTATTGTGAAGCACTCAATGAAAACATCTGTTAAATGAACAGAAGCAGACAGAAAAGCAAACAAAACATCGGGCTGTACGAGGGAGGTTTGAGAGTATCGGTTGCACTGTGGTAATGCAGCAGGGCACCGCAACTGCCCGGCTCTTGTACGAGCAGAGAGCTAGAAGGCAGCCGAGAGCTTCGGAAGAGAAATTCCCCCTGAAGACAGCCCACAAACCCACAAACATCGTGGCATTTTCCTTAACAATGCAGCCCTGAGCAGAGGCTTCCCAGGAAAGGAGGAGAGAGCTGGGGTATGTGGCTCATGGGGTGAAGGGGACGTACCTTGTGCTGTGTGCAGCCCCCCAAAACATGTGGGTGGCTGGGCCAAGGTGTGACTSTTGGCTGAAGGTCCCAAGCTCCGGCCAGTTCAGAGACCCTTTGCTGTTGCAGGGCTTGCATGAGGCTCAACCAGAGTCTCCAGTTTCCTTCAACAGAAGCAAGAAAGACTTGCCTTTTTTTTCCGTGCACAGCAGCTCTTTCTCCCAGAAGAGACGGACACTCATCTTCATTCACTCCTTTCTCTATCCACCGTGTCCTTGACTATTTCATTTGCCCTGCAAACTGCAAAGGTCTATGAGATTCTATGGCTTTCCCTGGTCAGTGCAGTGAAGGATTTTGCTGGTTGATATTGCTGCTCTSTTAGAAATGACCCGCAGCACAGGCCCAGGTGGCACATTCATTAGGTGCCTTATGCAGCCCTGCTTATGCAAACAGGGTTCATTCTTCATCCTTGCTAGCGAGCATGTTCAGAGGTGTGTTCCCCTTCCACCTGTTGTTTTATTATGAAACAGGCCCTTCATTTGATGACCACATTCTAAATTTTCCCCCAAGCCATGTCCTGTGCTGAGCTTATTTCAAAAATACACTTACATAAAAGTTTGAAGTATGAAACCCACTGACCCACATTGGTGTGGATCCTCTGGCCTTTGAAATATAAAGTGAACCTCATCAAGATTTAAGGAAGTCTGTATCAGTTTTCCTCTGTTCAGAATGGCCTTTTGGGCTATTGATACTAAAAGAATGGATAAAATCAAAGCTGGTCATTGTCATTCAGGCTAAATTTCCTGTCAGAGGCAAGAGATCTATGAAGCAGCTTTAGTTTGTGGCTCACGCTATAGGTTCATGCTGTGAACCTTTGAAAAGCTCTGCTACAAATACATGTGTATATACACATGCATGAACATAAATACATAGATGTTAAAATGTTAAAGTTATTCTGCCTTCTGCTCCATTACCCCTGTGATAGGTGGAGAGAGAAAAAGCCTCAAGGTTAAACTTTTCAAATTTCATTTTCTCATTCCTTGCTAATTTCTAAATGCCCAGACCAATAGAGAGTCAGAGCTATTAAGATGGTGAATTAAATTAGACTTTCTGGGTTGCATGAAAACAACAACCACTAGAGACAGGGAGACTCACTGAAAGARGAGACGAGAGGACAAGAGGCAAACTGGGATAGATTTTTTTTTAAAACACCCTAAGAGTAGTGTATGTTGCCTGCTGGACTTAATTTATGTGCATTAATTTATGTGCATTAAAAACAATAACTCTAGGAGCTGAAGGCTCCCTCTGCTTCAACACTTGTGGTTTATGGTGGCCCCCGAGTCTCTCTGTGGAGCTGCAGTTTCATCACACGCAGCTGAGGCTGCAGTTATTCCTGCCCCTACCTCCTGTGCTAGCACCATGTGCTCGAGCTGGGTGGACTCTAAAGGTGGCAGGCAGGTAGGTGCTGCCACTGTTCGCAAGGCTTTTCTGCCAGTTTGTGCCCAAAATGACCCTTTCTTTGTTGAGAAACGTGCATTCACTGCATCTAGTTCCTTTGCTTTTCCAGGCGGGCGCAGCGCTCTAGTTGGCAAGGAGGCTGAGGGCTGGTTATGGGCTGTGGGCCCATGAGCTGTTTCCTAGGCAAAAAACAAGGGAGAGAAGTAGAGTTTTGCAGAGCTGGCATGCCGAGGTGGTTAGAGATGCCTTCCACCTTGCGTGTGCTCTCCTTTTGTGAATACTCTAGGGAATATTTCCCTCCTTCACCCCCTTCTTTCTTCTTTGTTTACAAGATGAAAGCGCGAGTTGAAAAGAAACTGCGGTTTTGTCCCTTTTGAGAAGGTTTGAATGCGTAGGTTAGACAAATAGGTTCTTGTACTTTCATTTAGGGGATATTTTAGGTTAGAAAGAGGCCAGTGAGCTCACGTTAATTGAAAACAGTATTTTTCCTGTCCTTTGTAGAGAAATACCTGTGTTCCGCGCTGGAGGATTGTAGCATTCAGCGGAGCGGAGCTCGATGGTCTTCAGAGCAACTCAGTTGAGTAGTAGCTGCTTCTCCTTTGTTTCCAGCAGCTCATTTCTGTTCAAGAGAAGGCTAACAGCAGATTTCCCTAAAATTGCACTGAGCTGATATGTTATGGATGTGTTACGYGTTATATGGATGTGTTATGTGTTAAGGATGTGTTATGCTGGTGGTGCTGGTTGTCCCAGAGGCCTTGTCCATGCTGGTCCCTCCTGGGTACTCTGGGTGCTGGTGTTTCTACCTCTGGAAAAGTCTCCTGTTGCATCAAGGACTTTGAAATTCCTGGAAGGCTCCAAGTCTGCCAGAATCCCACAGAGCTTAGTAAGGAGGAGAACATCGCGTGGTGTGTCCCAAGGCTGTCAAATCTAATGGTTGAGGTGGCAGGGTGTCACCTACGAGGTTATTTCAGTGGATGGAGCTAAAATGTGCCAGATCTCTGTGCCTTTTATTTTTCCATCTTGAAATATTTATTTGCTTTTAAAGCCTTCACTGTTGGAGTCAGTGAGCATATCGGGTCTCTGCTCTTAAACAGGCACACAAAAGAGGCTTTCCCCGAGCAAAACGCAAGAGTGCGAATCCCAGGAGCCAAACGCCCTCCAGAAGAGAAAAGCAGCAGCATCTATTAATTTGTCAAGGAACCTGTTGGAGCCTGCCTTGATTTTCAAACTCTTGTCCTCCAATTCTGTGTTGGTAACAGAGTGCCGAGTTTCTGACGTATTTGGAAGTGGCTTCCTTTTCTGTAGCACTTCTCGTGAGAGCCGCATCACAAGGTGATTTGCAGTGCTAAATAATAAATAATAACACACACACACACATAGAAATTAACAGCTGTGGCCCGGGGAGAAAAGATATATTTTCAGATGAGATGTAGAAAGAAATGGAGAGTCAATGAGGCAGAGAGCTACAAGAGAGGTTGGCTCTGGGTCAGCTGTTTAATTTTGACCTTGGCTATTATTAGTCATTTGAGATAAAATATAGCTAGTGCCTCTGGAGTGTTCTCCATTTACTCTGAATTACAAGAACCAGGAAATATGAAGGGGGAAGAGGAATCCAGCTGGGTTCCGAGTAGGGAAGCATTAAAAAAGGGAAGGGCTTTATGGCTTCCAGAAGGTACCTTGCATTGGGAAGACCCATGTTGGCCTTTCAGTTTGAATTCACCCTCACGCAGGCATTTGCCAGTTAAAATCATGTTAACTCTTAACTCTTTTGGGTTTATGTGGGGCTGAAAAATGATCCCTGCCGTGCCAGCCCCGGAGCAGGGCATAGCTTGAATTTTCCTAGTGCTTAACTTGATATGTGCAGTCAGCTGCACTGGCTTTATAGTGCTATAAGAGCAGCAGTTTCATGGGGAGTTAAGATAAATTATGAACTGAAGCAGGAGTCGTGTCCATGGTGAGCTCCAAAATCTTCACAAGGCAGCAGTTTTTTAATCCTTTATTTCCCTTTCTGTGAATGGGGGCCGTGAGCCGTTCCCTGCTCTCTCAACTCTACTGAAGCAGCGTAGTAAGAGACTTGGAGGCCTGTACCCATATATGTGAGTGAGATGCTTGTCTTTCCCCACTCGGAATTTTGGACRGGCAGCAGTGCTGTAACCACCAGGAATTTCAGCAAAGCTCAGGCCCAGAATGTGTTGATGCCTTCAGCGCTCTGCACTTCACACATCGTGGTGGGGATTCACCTCCTATAACTYCAACTGTTTGTCTAAAAGTACAGCATTTACCCTGAGCTAACCTCATCTAAGCTAAAGTCAGTGGGGAGGGACAGCGAGGGGTCTGGATTAATCCTATCCCGAGAGATTTGGCTCATTCATCAAGCTGGAGCTCCCCAGGCCACAGCTACCCTTGTTTCTCCTTTCCCTGGTGGGTCTCTTGTGTTGAATAGGATCCTCCTCCCCAGCTCTTTCTGTGCTGTAGGACTATCCAGCTCACCAGAGTGTAATCATTGCCACCACCTCTAGGTTACCCTTACACCTTCACAGGCTGTTTTAAAGAACTTGGGATCCATTTCCCATCTTTAAGCACAGAGAGTACGTGGAAATGCAGTGAAATACCAGACCAAAATATTGACCGTAAATCTTCATCATGTATTATCCTATTTTCTGAAGTTTATCCTCTTATCTACTTAGTGGGAGTATTATTCCATTTAAATGTGCTGCTTAGCAATTGCTTGCAACATTTAGGTCTTTAGATGCTTCCTGCGCTTGAAGAATTGCCGTTCCTGCCATAACACTCTGCTAATTCTCCACAGAAATTGTCCCTGTGGTTTACRGAGAGGCCCATTCATTACGCCCCTTAGGAGTAAAACACCATGGGGGGAAGCAGTGCTACAGTGCAAGGTTTTAGCTGTCGCTTCCCTGCTCGCAGCAGCCAGTGGGGAGGAATCCTGACTTTTCTTTGTCTTTCCCCAGCGTCAGTGGCAGCAGGAGCTCGAGTCAGGATGGCTCTGGGATGGAAGAGCTCGGTGAGTGAGTGGGAATGGTGCTGCTGCGGCTTCCCAATCCCCCTTTTTTTCAATCTATCCTAGTTTCTCCTGGGACAAGCGGCTTGCGTAGGGCCTGCAGTGCCTGCTAGCAGGGTGTTTCACTGCTTTCCTCTCCCATTTTGGTCTCACAGGCAGGGAATTTCACACATAGGAYGATATGGGCCTGCTCCCGTCCTTGTCTTTGCCAGGCACAGGGGCCTGAGCACGCATCAGCTCCTCCCAGCGCACCCGTAGCCTTTCTGGGCTTTTGGGTGGCATGATGTGGCTTTGCCGCTGCAAACTGGCTTCCAGGACATGTACTAAGTATTCAGAAGGGGGTGCCTTATCCTATCAAAGCCTACTGGGGTGGTAGGGTTGCAGTCCTGGATTTACATTCAACTTACAGCATCTTCTAGATGAAACCTTGGGGTTGTGCTGGGCTTCTGGCGGGCAGCTCTGCCCAGCCTCATGCTGGGCATACAAAGTGGTTCAAAGACCTGACATCCCCAATGAATAAAGGCTGTTTGTAGATGGGGGATTGTAGGAGCAGGTCCCTGCTGGGCAATTTTGTTCTAATCAACTGCTTTATTTTTCTTTTTCTATTTCCTTAAAAATAGGAGCACCCATAAGACAGCACTCCACTCCTGAGCCAGCTGGCGCTCACACGGTGCCCGGACCGCCGCTCACTGTGCAGGACGGTAGGCAAAGGCTCCAGCAGGAGAGCCTGTTCGTTATCAAACATCTGAAAACGTTTTATAGTTGTTTGAAGAAACGGCTGCTCTTGCCTTTTGGTGAAACAATTACCGCGAAGCAGTCCGTCAGCGGGGCTTGTGCTGCCTGGCTGAGTGATCGGACTCCATGTAAAGCACAGAGTCCTCGATCTTTATTTCCCTGCTCTGTCTCCTTTCTCATCACCAGGAGCTTTGCTGCATTTTTTTTTCCTTCTTCCTGCAGCTCGGGTAATTCCCTGCGAGGGGATTATACTCCTGGCATGTTCATAACTGTGTTTGCTCAGAGCAAGTGCCTCCTGCTATTGCCCGATTGTGGAGCTGCACTCGAGTGGAACAAGTAATAACAGAAATATGCAGCGCTCGCTGCCTTCGTTTGGCTGCCTCGGTGGCAGGGTGCAGGCTGTGGGCCCCTCTCCTGCGAAGTGGTTAACGAGGCTTTCGTACAGCAGCGAGTCCAAATAAATCATCCCCTGCAGCCCTTTGAACTCGCCCTCGCTGCCTGGCGCCGCAGGGAAGGGAAGTGCTGGGGGGGAGCTGAGGGAGCGATGCTGATGGGAAGTGGCTGGTGCAAACGCAAAGCTGGCCCTGGGAAAGGGAAGGCAGGGATGTTCCCGGCTGGTGCAGGGCAAGGGACCAGCCCAACTCCGTGCAGTTCTCATCCTGCATTGCTCTTTGCTGGCACCATGTCCCCTGCCCCGCCACAGGGACAGAGCCCTATTACTGCTGGGCCAGGTTGGGTGGTTTCGGTGCTGCACTGAGGAARGTGACATATTCAGTGGTAACTGTCACGAGGGCTGTTTGAGCTCTGCAGACTCTGAAGGTTTGCAGTGGCCTTTGTGACAGTCCGTAATGCTACTCTTAGATGTCCAGAGCGCAGGAAAGGGTAGTTAGAGCTGCGTGCTAGGCTGGCTTGGGCCTTTTCTCTTTGCGAGTCACTTAGTGTCTTCCATTCTTGGGCATGAAGATGGACTCGTGAGCGTTTTGCTCCTCACAGGTTGGAGAGGAGGCTGAGCAAGCTTGGAAGAATACCATGGGCAGCCTCAAAATCCTTAGCCRGTAGGTCTGGGTCTCCCACTGGTCTCGCCCCATTGATTTTCTGCTCTGTGCAGGTAGTTGGCCAGTTCCACCAGTAGAGAAGAGCCTGCAGTGTCCAGAGAGGGGGGGCACGGCGTCCTGCAGGGCAGTGGACATTGCGTGAGCCATAAGGAACACTAGTTTGGCTGTTGGGCTCACTCCATTTGGAGGGAAAAAGGCCTTTTTTGGGGCACACAGGGGCAGCAGTTTCCTCCTCTGCTGCCTGCGATGAGAAGAGGAGGAAAAAGGGCTCCCGGGGAAGGTGAAAAGCGGCTGCTGCGAGTGCAGAGCCGCTTGCTGAGGCCCTGGCAGCTCTGCTCTGCAGCAAAGGGGCTCCGGGCCGAGCCGAGGCCCTTCCTCGAGTGAATGTCCCCCCTCCAGGAGGATGGAAATGGCTTCAGCAGCTCCATTTGGGGGGAAACATAAATAACAAACCTGAGCACAGTGGTGCCATGGYTTTGAATTGCCGTCGGATGCCCTTGGCCTCCAACAGGCTATAGCCGGGCTTGGGAGGGGAGGGAGGAGAGCTCCTGCAAGCTGCATTCCAGTGATAGTGTTTTAATTTCTTCTTCTTCCGTGCCTGGTTTACACTTTAACATAGTTTAATTTTAAAGTCTCCTTTTTTTTTTTTTTTTGTTGTCTTTTTTTCTTCTTTTTACAAGGTGAATGTCAAGCAGTAATGTAATGAAAAGTTGACAGGCAGAGATCTTTTTTAATAACTCTTATGTTGTGTAGCTTAAATTGCTTTAACTATAGCTGAGCTGAATAATAAGCAGAGAGGAATTCATCTCGTGAACCGTGACTGGTTTGAAGCCTCCTCTAGAAAGGGTTCAGTGGCTCTGCCTCTAATCCCAGGGGAGGGACCCACGGCTTGTTATCCACTTAGGGTCTCGCTATGGAAGTCAGGAAGAGYGTTAGGGATGGGACAGCTCATCCTGAAGTCAGTAAAGCAGGTCTGTTTGCCTCCAGATAATTCAGGTTGCTTTTTGCGTGGAGCTCAGCCCATCCCAAGGAAAAATTCCCAGCTGTTGGAAGAAGGCTGCATGTCATCCCATACCCAGCAACAGTGCCCGGGAAAGAGCTTTCTGGAGCACCCGGGTGCTGAGGGACACAAGCTGTCAGGCCTTGGAAAAGCTGGGGAATGGTTTCAGCATGTTCCATAGAGTGCCACAAATCCCTCATTAATGAAACCTTTTGGGCTCTAGTGAAAAGCCGGGCTCACAAGGCGAGAGCCATTGCCATACGCTGTCTCTAGGTGTTTCCTCATTTCTTCTTTCATCTTCTCACCCAGAGTGCAATTCATCTTTCAGGCTTGTTTTTTTTGTTTGTTTTTTTTTTTTCTGGGGCTCTCTTTGTTGCTTCCCCAATTTTAGGCCTTTCTTCTAAATGTTTTGTTTACATTTGCTTCATTTTATCTTGCTTTGTCATCATGACAGCAGCAACGCAATGAGTCATCCTTGTGACCCTTTGCTACAAAAAGAAAATATATCTGAAACTGGTTCCCTCCAGGAGAGGAAAGTGAGGGACCAGTTACTGCAGCTGTGCTCTGGCTGGGACCATGGTGATCCATGCAGGATGATCCTCTGATCTAGACAGCGTGATCCCAGCTAGGGAGTTCCCAGCTTTTCAGCCTGAGTGGGTGAGAAACTCTTCATCTTGCCCATCACCACTGTAAAACATGGCTCTGATTAAACGTATTTCTTCTTTTTCTTCATGGGATTGTACTGATGTCAACAAAATGTCTTTAGTACTGGAAGCGCCTGCCCCTTAACACGAACGTCTTGCATCTGCTCCCTGAGCGTGCAGCTCATTTGCCTTTGAGTTGGAATGAATTTTTCATTAAAAAGTTGGAAATAAAGAGGGCTCGTGTAAAAAGGAGACCTTTCTTTTTGACCCACAGTGTTTCTTTCACCCTGGTGTGTTTTGCAACCGACTTCAGCGTTGCGCCTTTCTCATTCAATTTGGGTTGGAAATATGAAATTGTGCCTCTCTTTCCCTTCATCTTTCAGGCACTCCGTCCTCCTCCAAAGAGCTCTGCGCAGCTCTAGGCTGGAAAGCTCTGCATGACATGGGTGTCCCCCAGGGATGCTCTTCTGGTCTTGCTGCTGCGGAGACATCTCAGGGAGGCAGAAAAACCGTGTCACAAAATAAAGTCATAAGCTGAGGTGGGAATGCGCAACCCTGCATCTTTCTGTGGTCATGAAGAGCTAGTAGCTGAACGTGACGGTGACTGAGCGCCTCCTTTTCTGAATGTGTAGAAATGCAGATAGCTTCAGTCAAAAGGTGATAGATGTAGATGTGTGTATTGAAGTCGGTGAGATCCTAAATTCTCTGGARTTCATCAGAACCGCGATGGCTAAAGCCTCCCAAAACTACTTATTACGTTGGATGGTTTTTGCTTTAATTAACCCGCCGCTCAGTTTCTTGGCTTTAATACAAAATTACTAATTCACAGATAGGTTGTGCTGAGGAATGAATTGTTTCTGGAGCCTTCAGCTACTTTGGTTAGTGAACTTGAGCTAGTTTCAAGACTCATTTTGCCTCAGGTAATCACAGAATCACAGACTGCTTAAGGTTGGATGGGACCTCTAGAGATCATCTGGTCCAACCCCCTGCTCCAGCAGGGACACCCAGGGCACAGGGYGGCATCCAGGCGGGTTTTGAAGGCCCCCAGAGAAGGAGACTCCACAGCCTCCCTGGACAGACTGTGCCAGGGCTCCAGCACCCCCACAGCAAAGAAGTTCTTCCTCACCTGGAGATGGAACTGCCTGTGTTTCAACTTACGCCCATTGCCTATCACTGGCCACCACTGAGAAGAGCTTGTCCCCTTCCTTCCTACATCCCCCCTTCATGTACTTATACATATTAATCAGATCCGCTCTCAGCCTTCTCTTCTCCAGAGAAAACCAGCCCAACTCAGTCTTCCCTTCTACAAGAGATGCTCCAGTCCCTTAATCATCTTGATTGCCCTCTGCTGGACCCTTTCTAGAAGCTCCATATCCCTCTCATACTGGGGAGCCCAGAATTGCACACAGTACTCCAGGTTACTCCAGGTAAGCAATTGCCTTGTTCTGTAGCCACGCTGGGTTGGAGACACCTGATTCGTGTTACCCGCTTTGCTGCGCAGGTCTGCTTGCATCCATCATCTAGTCATCTGTGCAGTTTGGCTCTTGAAGACTCCATATCGATTCATGATGTTTCAGCTAGGAGAACAGACCTTATGCTAAGTGTCTGCTGCCATCTTAATGAGAAGGGATGTGGAAGCAGTCTCCCGAGTACAGAAATGACTAGGGATCTCTTCCGAGTCTGTATCCACMTGCTGTGAGTCCTGACTCAAGAATGGAAGAGCTGAACTGCTGCCTGCCCTGGGTAGCCTTTTGGTTAAAGCTGCCTTCACATCAGAGGTGGTTTTGCGGAGGGTAGATTGTGTGATGTGAAAAGGGCTGCAGGGAGATCCAGACCTGGACTGGTGTACTGGGAGAAAGGAAAGAACCAAATTAGCAGCACATGGGTAAGTGAGCACATCATTCTGAAAAGGATGTCAGGCTTCACAGATCTCCTGAAGCTCTTTGAAGGCATCAGCAAGCATGTAGACAAGGTAATTCCAGCTGATAAAATCCACTTAGGTAGAAACCGACGGTTTTTGACTCCTTTCTCAGAGAAGCATCTTAAAACTCAACTGCCGTGGGCTGAGAGGAAAGGACGCCTGAAACCTGGCTTGAAGGGGAGGAAGAACTGCTGGCCATGGAGAGAATCACCAGCACAGCTCTGCAGGGTCCATGCTGGCAGCTGCCCTGTTCAGTATATGCAGAAATGAACTGGAAGAGGAGACAGCAGTGAGTGTAAAGACTGATGATGATACGGAGCGTGGTAAAAAAGAAAGCCAACTTGTGCAGCTGAGTGACTAGGGAATAAGCAGCGGGTGAAACTCACTGCAGATAAATGTGGAGCGCTGCACATGTACATCTTTGTCTACAAGATGATGAGTTCTGAGCTGGGATCTCATTCCTCCACAACTTGGGAGCTACTGTGAATTATTTTATGGAAATGGCATCGCGGAGACCAACTGTCAAAATGCGGTAAGATTGGCAGGAAAAGACCAAGAAACATTGTTAGGGCGCTGTACCTCGACTATCGAGTGCAATTCTGGCCTCCCCATCTCAAAACTGACTTATTACTACTGGGAAAAGTCCAGAGATGAGCAGCAGGCATGTGAAATTCTTGTGAGAAGTGATTAAATGATTACAGAGCCTSGTAAAGAATCTGTGAAAAGGGTGAGTGCAGGTCAGCAATCATAYAGTATTAGCCTGAAAATGTGCAGGAAGCAGGAGAATTGGAGAAGAGAAATGTGGCTGTCTCTTCTAGCAGGAGAACTGGGGGCTATTAGACAAGACTAGCAGATGAAGGTTCAACTGGAAGGAGATACTCCCTCATACAACACAAAGGTAGGCTACTTTTGGCTTCTTGTGTCTACTTGGAGTTCTGAAAGTTTACAGACATTTGAACAGCATTAGGATAAAAATTCATGGAGGAGAAGCCCTTTAAGGGGTACTAAGATACCTTTAGTGTCCTAATCGCTGGAGCCTGGAGGAGAGTGTTTAAGTAGTATTGGCACAATTACCCTTTCCAAGGTACCTTCAGGCCAGTTTTTCACATTGATACAACTCTTATCTGCTACAATACGGCTGTTCTTCTGTAAATGCAGGAGAAAAACGAGACAAAAATGTTATTTTCCAGTTGTTGGGTTTCCAGTTCACGCCGTAGATTCTGACTTTTAACCTAAAAATTGCACAAGCTGCAGATACCACTTTGTGTTCTTCATCATTTATTATCTAAGAGTTCGCAACCCTTTAAAGACTTAATAAAAGAGGTTTTCCTCCCCTGGAGTCTCGCAGTTTTGTTAAGTGAGATTAGACTGTGTGAAGGCATCAGACCTTTCTGCAAAGATGAGAACTGCGCAGTGTTAAACAGGGAAAGAAGGAAAGCGACTCTTGGGAGTACTTGTCACTTCTATCTGTTTTGCACATCAATGTAAAGTTATTTCAGGTGTTTCAAGCTCCTGACGCAGACTTTCAGGAGCAGTTTATTCTGTTTATTTGAAGTTCTATACCAAAGCAAAAGAAGGTCAAATGAGAGGGTGAATATCTACATCGGATGACCATGTTCCATCAGGATTAAAAACAGGCTTCCTGCTGATGGATGTCTCTCCTAAGACCAGGTTCCAGCAGCAAATCTAGCCATCAAAGGTGCATTTAGCCCAAAATAAAGCTAACAGGAGCCAAAGGGTAGTGGCTGTGTTGTAGGGGGGGTCTGCAGGTCCGCAGTCATTTTTCCATAGCGATATTTCTACATTAATACCACGGAACTGGTGTTGCACCCCGCAGTGCTCTTGTGTTAGAGGCTGGAGGAGAATGACAGCAAAAAAGCCTTAACTGGAGTGAGTCATCCAAGTGACAGAGGAATGAATAGTAAGGTTCRTGCCCATGGGGCAGGTGCAGCTAGCCCCAGGTTGGCAAAATGCACGATCACATCCCAGCCAGAGCTGAGAAGGTTCCTCAGTGCRCTGCAAAGGCAGCGCCTGAGGATTTATCCCTCCAAACATCTCCGTGGGTTCCTGGTGGGGCTGGGTCTTCTGCTGAAGCCCTGGAGCCTGCCAGGGCCGGGCACGGTTACGGATAGTGGGGTAGGAATCAGTTCGTTGCCCAGTGCCAAACCCAGGCCTGAAGGAAGAGCCTAGTGGCAAGAGCTGTTATCCTAGGCAGCTTTAAAAAAAAAAAAAAAGAGAGAAAATTTAAATATAATAATGAAAAAACATGTAATAAAAAGTTAGTTGTGCAAGAAGCTGACAGGGTTGGCGGAGTGTTCATTATATGCTGTATCAGTAAGTATATGAAATGTCAGTGTGAAGGGAATTCATTTCCCAGTAACAAGCATGACAGACTATTGAATTGAACTGAGAGGGTGTCTGCAGGCWGCAGGGTGATGAAGCCCTAATCAGAATTTCACTTCACCAGAGTTTACTTGAAGAGTGTTTTCGTTTTAGGTTTTGCAAGTTCAATTTTTTTTGCCCAAAGCAAAGGGTGGCGGCCAGGGCTCTGCGTGCAGGCCTGCTGGCTCCAGCACTGCCTCTGCTTGGCCCGAGGGGCACAGCTCCCTTTCTCCCATTCAGTTCTTTTATTTCCCACTCTTTCATTTTTCTCTGACATGTTCTTCTCCTCGACACAGAAATAGGACCTAATTTCATTACGTGCTAAGGGCTTGGGGCGGGACAGGAGGAATCAGGTGGTTTTAGAAGAGCAAGGGGAGAGTCTGCAGAGCAAGGGCCAGAGCCGAGCCACGGGGCTGCACGTTTGACGGGAACTGGCAAATGAGCCCTCCTCCCCACCATGGGAGTTACACACGGAGAGCAGGGATGTCAGAGGGGAATAGTCCCAATGGGCACGGCCTGTGGATCAGAGGGCTTGCAGTTATTCATGGAAAGCCTCCAGCACAGCTGAAGGCTTCTTCTTGTACCCTGTCCTCTCAAATCCCCTACCGTCACTACGTGCCATTGAATCCCTGATGTCGGAAGTTTCCAAGCAGGGTCCCCTTCCAAGTTATGCCTTTCCCATTGTTTTCTTCATGAAAACTCTCCTGGAAGCCTGGCTTCCTGGTTGCCATTCATGCTATTCCTTTTTGTGTCCTCTCAAGGTCTTTCGGGAGAGCAGGATAGCGCTGCTGGGAAACCTGGACACGAGCAGAGCTGATGGATGAAACTCAATGTTCTCTGTTAGACAAGAAGTCACTCCAAGGGACCGTTGGGTCTGGCGTGCTCCACACTGAATATATAGCTCCACAATGAACACTGCAAGAGTAAGGCTTGTATTAGCTTTCAAAATCTAATGAGGAGCTGAGAGGTAGGAGCATGAAGATGGAAGTCCTCCAAAAAGGAGACATTTATTACACCGTGACTTCGTTTGTAAGACTTAGTATATTTTTTTTATTGCTCCAAGAGTCTGCTCAGTAATTGGTGCTGCCCTATTATTGCAACAGAATTAATTGCACAGTGGCTATTTCTAAGCACTAGGGATCYTCTCCAGGCAGCGATGGACGAAATAGCTCAACGTTCGTAACCTTCAGATCTGGACCAGCGTGGGAGTTCTTGGCCATGAGGCTCTTTCCCTGTGATTGAACAAGAAAATGGAAGACCTGAGAATTAAAGACTGAAACAAATGACAGTATTCAAATCTTATAATTCAAGATTAATTCAAATTAAAATCTCCATCCCCTCTGGGCTACCTGCATAAGCCGTACTTGACTTTCTCATTCACTGTTCATGCCTGGGGCTGCAGCACCGTCACTTTGCTTTTAAGTCCTTTGATCTAGCAAACAAGGGGCACTGATTAAAAAATGGAGAAGAAAAATGGGGAAAAATGGAGCAGCGGGACCCCGGCCCCAGGAAAGGTCCATGGGAGCTGTGCCAGCATCGCTAGCGTGACACATGTGTCGCTGCCGATAGTCCGTTCTCAGAGACGGGTATTAACAAATGACGCTGCCTTGCATGGAGTCTGGGAAGCAGGAGAGTTTCCAGGTGGGTTTAGKGGGCAAGGAGGAGGGCTCGCAGTAACAGCCTTAGCCTGGCTGCACATTGGCAGGGGATGGTGCTGCCTCGCGGGCTGGTCAGTACCCACACGCTGCAGCTTTGCAGAGGCATCCGTGACGTTTTCAGAGATGGGGAATAATTGGATCTAATTAGATCCTGCAAACTGCTGGGGATGGGTGAGCTGCTCAGCCGGCTTGTGGGGGCCCATGGCTGCTGCAGGGGTGGTTGGAGCTGCTCCAGGGGAAGGATGGGGCACAAACCGTGATCAGCAGCGCTGTTTTAGCAGCTTCTTCCATGCAGGGAGCTGTTGAGCTGTCCCCATGCTGTGCTTTTTCTCCTCCTGAAGCCTGGTGGTCTGGAACTGTCTCTGTGATCTTGCATGTGCTAGGCAGTTTTTGGATATGTGTTTAGGCTTGGCAACAAGGAAAATCAGTGTGGTCTGGAGCGAGCTGAGCCTTCCAGGCGGCCCTGATCGAGGGTAGGAGGAGTTTGGGGTTCCTCTGAGCCGCTCAGTGAGGTCTTGGTGCAGGAAAGTGAAATACAAGGGCAGATCATTCCAGGGAAGCAAGGGTCTGAAGACTATGGTATCTGCAATGTTTTAATTACAGTGAAACAAGCAGAAATAATGTTGGTTTTCTGCTCCCTTGGAAGAATAATCCAAGGGCAACTGTGATCCTCTTCTTTTCTAGTGCTTTAGACAACATGCTTGAATGAGGTATTTTAAGAATATTTTCTTGTGTCCCAGGCATGACGATTTTTGTATAATCATTGAACAGAAGCAGAAATGTGTGCTATCAACACACCTTGTCATCCATCATCAAGGAAAGAGAAGGTCCCACAGCAGGGRCATCACCTTGGGGACTTAGAGGCTGTTTGAGGAAGGTGACACACAGTCTGCCTTTCTGTAGGGCTTGTTTGAGGAGCAAGTAGCTGTTGTACCTCTGAACACTAATTCTAGACCTAGTTTTCGCAAGCCTGGCCAGAACAAGTCCTAAAGAGCAAAGAAATAGCTGCTTATCTCCATAGTGGTGACATGGCCATGACATTACTGTTGTGGTGAGCAGGTCAGCCCCCGTTTAGAGCCATGGGCTTGCACACAAAGCCAAGAACAGCCCCCAAACGTAGTCTCCATTTTCCAACTGCACTGTGCAGCAGAGAAAAGTTCATAGAAATCTGTTGCAAACCTGATTCTGCACAGCAGGGACGCTTCCCCGAAGGAACGCGGGGCGAAAGGCTTTCATGTTAATACAGTTAATACAAATGACGCAGATTAGATATTGTGCCGCAGGATCAGTCAAAGAGTGAGTTGCTTTTGTCACCGAGCCATGCTGCATTACGGCTTCACCTTAAGGCAAGGGATTTACCCGAGGGACGTGTCGCTGCTGYGCAGGAATTAGTTTCTGTTAAGGATTTGGATGGGGGTGTTGAAAGCAGGACCGCGCTTTGCGGTGTGATTGCTGCCACCAAAGCCCCCAAACGTTTCCATGTTGCTGTGAAAAACACAGAAGCTTTGGAAGAAAAATTAGCCCCCGATGAAAATATTTCATTAAAAAATGTGCCGGGAAAACATGATTTCACCACGATTTCTGCCTCGCTCTGTCGGAATAGGTAAGGAAGGAGATTTTTAATACCTACCGCTACTGCTACGTGTCGCTTTTTAGAGTTGAAACAGGGTTTACCTAAAGCTAGAGAGGCATATGCTCTGCATACACCGCAAGCGCTTTGCACACAGGAATATATGTTTGCAAATGGGAGACTAATCATGCCAGGTTTACCAGCATCTCTCGCCGGAATATATAATGTAATAACCCCAACCAAAGTTACTTTGAATAGCGCAACTTTTATCAGCGCTGCTCCTCGGGTGCTCATCACCGGCTCATCACAGGGTGACGTGACAGTAATGCCACACGGAAATGCTCCGCCGTCCTTTCCAGCAGGAACGAGGAGCTGCGATACGGGGACCTGTCGCGTCTTGACAGGATACGGGGAACATCTGGTGACAGTGTGGTAATTAACTTGCATCAGCAGCGCACACTAACAATCGGGCCTGCACATGGGATGGGAGAGCAGGGATTAATTTGGGATATCATTTATTTACTGGGAATCCGAGCACCCCTCTGGAAGTGCTGTGCGGCTGTCAGGGAGAAATGGAGCTGTGTCGGCTTGTCCTCTCCTGCTGCCTGCTCCGTTGGTTCCCATGTGTGTCAGGTCTCAGTTGGCTGGACAGAAGCGGATACCTGTGCTAGGAAGGACATCACTGTGAGGACTCCAGCTGGATGGGAGCGTTGGATCTCCTTGTATCTGGCTGGGTAAACACTTGTCCCTCCCTTGTCACTGTCCCCATTCCCTGGGCAGTGTTGACACAACTTCTCTGAAGCTCAGTCCAACCCCTTCTCTTGCTGGATCCCAAACTCTTACATTAAATGAGTTTGTGGTATTTCGCTCTTCCTCCTTCTGCTTTCCCATAGTTTAACCYTGCCTAACCTTTCTGCACAGAAACATCCCTCGACCCAGCAGTGCACCAGTGGGGATAGATCACCACGGTGCAGAGGGGAAGAGACAAACCTGAATTTGAAGTAGTCTCAGGGCCATAGGTACTGCTTCCAGAGGTGACTTCCAGGGACTTAATTGAAGACCACGACCCATCCTCTTCTCCTGCTTTGCCTCAGCCCACCCTCCTCACCACTGCAGCGTGTCTTGGAGAGATGCTGCTGCCGGGAACGTCCTGCTCCAGCTGCTCTCTCCAAGCCAGGTTTGCCGGGAGGTTCCTGTGCATCTTCTCCTCCCTCCGGCTCGGCCAAGGAGCCCGGAAAGCCGCTCACTGAGCGGTTCAGCAGCAGCTCGTGTGCAGGGCCTCCTYCCCAGGCCGTAATGGATTCTGCCTAACATATATTCTCCTTCTCTCTAATTAAGTAGTAACACCTTGGTGGCAGAGCGAGCCRGTAAAATAATAAAGGGTTTTGCACTTGGAGGCACGGGAAGGCAGACCCTGGGGAGTGATCCTCCCCAAGATACAGAAATTATTGCAATTACAGAGCAATTGTACGGAAAGGAGAATGGAACAGCAGACTCTTCAGACACACTTTTCCCGCATTAATATTTTTAATTAAGGTTATTGGCAGTGAGTTATGACTTTGGYATAGCAGACGGCACAGCAAGGCACGCGTGCGATTCTGCCTTTCCCTGCAGTGGGTGAGAAAGTGCAAACATGTTTCTGCAAATATTACTTGGTCGCCGTGCGGCGTGTTCCCGTGCAAGGCGCTTCCCTCGCAAGCCGGGGAGCAACTTTATTAATGTTAGAGAAGCCTGAGAGGGTCGTCTTCATACCTGATCCAGTGCCAGTGGGGCACTGCCTTCTGCTCAGGGAAATAAGGATCCTGTTCTTCAGCAGAAGGGGTAGCAGAGACCATGGAGATGGGGGTGTTGGATCATCAAAGGTGTTTATGTCTCTCAAGATGTCACTCCGAGAATTCAATCAATGTGTCTTCAGCAACTCTGAAAAGCTGCTTCCCACCCATCCCCTGGGGCTCCTAGGCACATCTTTAGCARCTTAAGTGTCTCTGCGTATGGCGCAGTAAGTGCCTTGGCCAAGGTCACGTGGAAGGTGTACATCAGATCAAGGAGGTAAAGCCGGGTCTTGGGGAGCACTGCGCCCATTCGCCATCCCAAACCCTGTGGGCAGAGGCTTCTGCAGGGGTGTCGAAATGGAAGAAGAGGAGATAAGTCACAGGGATGGGGAGAGGACAAAGAGATCTTGAGTTTCTCTTARGTCTTTGATAGACCATTCACTCTAAGGTAGGGAGAGGACAGGTTTCCTCAGAGTTTCTCCACACCGACGGTGTCCGTGGGTTTCAGCTATTTGAGAGCATTTTCAATAGTCAGGTAAGGTGCTGTCAGTCCAAATGTGCGCAGCATGCCTAGAGTGATTGGGGGTTTCAAACCTCGCTGCGTTTAAGACTGCATTTTCTGGGGCTTAAATAAAGGTCAGCGCCACACAATGATGCCATATTTCAAAGTTAATGCTTTTGTTTTTTCACTTTGGCAAAACTTCACTTCCATCTTTGTCAAAACTGACAGAAAAAAAAAGTTTTGTCGAGACTTTCCAAGAAAATTCACCTTGGAGCAGAAGGAAATGTGGGAAAGATGAGTTGGAAAATGGTACTTTTCCTAGCACGAGGAATTATAAAGGAAACAGTTCTGCATCACATTGACAGGAATGACAACTGGATCCCAGTGTTTTGCAGGAGCCATCCACAGTTCATATTTCTGAGCCATTAGATACTTCTTGTCATAAGGTAATACATATTTTCATTATATAGACACCAGCACGACCATATAGCACGACTATATGATCTTGCTTTCCCTTTGGACGTCGTCGCAGTCTGTCAATGAGCAGCCGTTGTTTATTGCATTAATTCTCAGGAACAYGCTCTGAGGACTTCGCCGGCAGTACAAATTCCCCAAGATTCCCTATTTTTCTCTGCCTATTAGTCTAGATGCTAATGTAATCACTGAGATTTCACATGCGACCTATCTTCAGACTTCTGAAGTTCAGGCCAG